AAGTTACACCTACTGAGAAAAGAAGCAGTTTGTTGTTGGACACAAATGAGATGAACAAGCAAAGTTTTCTGTTGAGTGACATTTGAGCAAACATGTAAGGAAGGAAAGAGGTGATCCATAACCTGGAGGCTAGCATTCCAGGTGGGTTGTAGCTGAAGAGGGGAGAGTAAGAAAGAACAGTGGGAGCCAGCGTTGGAAAGGTAGTGGTCAGTTCACGTAGAGCTTGCAAAGTTTTTGGGCTTTTTCCTTATGTGAGATGAGAAGACAGAGCAGAAGAAATGCAATGGTCTAATTTATTCCAGATCAGTGTGACATCTTGATTAGCTCTTCAGCATCTAATGAGACTTCTGAAGTTGATGTCTAAGAGGTACCCAGCCTCTTGTGCTGATAGAGAAGGAACTTAACTTGAAGAGACTGCTCTGCAGCTGACATGTTATCCTTCCACAGTTCTCCTGCCTGAGCATTGGTCATGTGCTAGGAACATTAAAGTACATAGATAAAAGACTTTGTGTCAAGAAATCTCAGTGGAGTCTACAATGGACAGGACAAGATGGTTCAGTAGACCAAGCATAGGACTCACATAGAGTTACTACCTTGTGTTAGAGAAGTCACACTGATAAGTGTTAGGAAGGCTGAGAAAGAATAGATACATGATTTACTTCGTTCAAAAGTTGAACTAGCCATCAAAGCTTCCTCTGATGCTCTTTGCTCTGGGGACATTTGCCCCTCTAGCTGTGGCATCTGAAGAGAGCTGCCCTATTTTGTCAGTGGTCCAGATTTGTGAATACTCTGTATTTTATATGGTGTAGGCTGGCAGAGAGGAAAAGAAAGTATAGGTTCAGCTCTTCCACTGTCTTCATACTTGGAATTCAAGTTTTTCTTCTTTGTTGATGTCAAGATTTAGCCTGTTTAGAGTACATTATCATTTTTTCCACAACTTCTTGTTCATGTTAAGCACTATGTTGTTTGAAACCAAATCTTGATAGGCTTTCATCTTTATCACTGTGTGAAGTAATATGATTTAAGTCACAACAGGAAGAGGCCTGTCCTCAATCCAGCAAATAAGATAGATGTGCCCCAGGTGACAAGACCATGGAACAGTCTACTTCAGTGAATGCCCAAAATTCCACATACTTAAGCTCTGAGGCCTGGTACAGAGTTACTGCTTGTATTAGTTACTTTTCTATTGCTGCAATAAAACATGACAAAGGCAACCTATGTATGAAGGTGTTTATTAGGGCTTTCAATTCCAGAGGACTAGAGTCCATGATAGTGGAGTGAAGTTATGACAGCAGGAACAAGAAGCTGAAGTTGCACATCTTTCTTTTCTTCCCTTCCTCCCTCCCTTCTGCCCTTATTTATTTATTTGTTTGTTTTTGAGGCAGTGTCTCTCTGTGTAGCCCTGGCTGTCCCAGAACCCTCTATGTAGACCAGGATAGCCTCAAACTCACGGAGGTCTGCTTGTCTCTTCCTCCTGGGTGCTCTTCCACATCTGGCAAAGCTCACTGTTTGAACCATAAGCATAAAATAAAGAAAGAAATGAAGGGATGGTGCAAGGTGGAAACCCTCCTCCAGCAAGGTTACCCCTGGTAAGCTTCTCCAAACACTGCTGTCAACTGGAAACCAAGTGTTGAAATGCCAGCATCTATGGGGACATTCTCATTCAAACCACCACATGCTCTGAGCTTATCACAAGCTTTTCCATTGATTCTTTGGTAACCCCGAAGAAGTTCAAGTAACCATCATGGTTTTTTTCCTGGTAGGTTAAATGAGCTCATAATAAATATTGGTTTATAGTTCACAAGTGGGCATAGTCCCAAACACTTAGCACAGCAACTGAGTTTTAACAAACAAACCTTTAGAGGAGAGCAGACAGCTGAACATTGAGTTCACATTGTCTTGATGCATACCTTGAATTCTCTCCTAGAAGTTTCCAAAGTCATTGGTAATCTTGCCATTTTGTCATCTTTATTTATATAGTTTTCCTTATATGTGGTATGTGCCAGCTGGTTGGGAGTGATGATTTTCCTTATTTCTGTGAATCCTATGAAATGTCTAATTTCTTGAATTGGCTGCTAATGTTTCCAAAACAGCCATCATCTTCCCTTTTGTATGGCTTTCAGAAGTGAATATGGCTTCCATGATTCTGCTTGTGAAGAGGAAGCCTTCAGCAGTATTGTTTATCAGAATAGGTACATTGACCCTCAGAGAAAGTGTCATGAATTAATACAAAATGGATTTCTGTCCTGTGGGAGAACATAGAACAGAAACTAGGAATTTTGTACCAATTCATAAATTAGTAAAGACCTTACATCATGTCTGCAGTTTACCAAGGCTTTTAAAGATAGAAGGCAGTGTTGAGTGTGTCCTTGGAGTTGGATGTGGGAGACTGGCCATAGAGTGGCTTGTTCAGATTAGACGATGGAAAGTGACAGCCTTGCAGTCTCCCCACTTCTAGTGTTAGGCAGAAGCTCATGGTATCAGCATGCAGGAAAGCAGTGTATGAGCTAGGTATAGGTATATGACCTGAGCATGAGGCTGTTCTGACCTTTAGATAGCATATCCAAGGCCAAACAAAAATCCTACTGCCTTAAACAGCCATTCTATTTTGTAGGATGTGGTCCTGATGGCAGAGGTATTGAGGAAGGTTCATTGACCTCTTCCTTAAGCCTCTTCTTAATTGTCCTGGACAGCTGCTTGCAAATGGTACATATGTAGAAGGCCATCCCAGAAACCCTTATAGGAACACAGTTTTTTCCACTGTACCTTCAAGATATCATAGAAATTGAAGAATTCACTTTGAAGAGAAAGCCCTTTTCCAGACAGGATTCTTCTCCCTGGATTTCCAAATTGTAGCTTAACTGTCAGAACCAGGCTTGCACTGAGAGCTGAGGCCAGGGAGGCATAACAGAGGAGGCAAAGGCAGGCACCAATAGGGTTCTAAATGGAAAACCTTGCTCTCCCAAACCAGAATCATGGGCCCCAAGCTAAACCTTGAGAGGTGCAGGCACCCAGGAGCCTCTGCTTGTGATGCTGCTTTGGGATGGCTTCCTATGTTATGAAAGCACAAGTAAGAAAAACTTTCATGGGTCTGGAAAGACTACAACCTAGCTCTAACTTGTTTCTCTGCCTTCAGTTCCTACCTTGTAAATACTAAGCTTGAAAGTGGAGGTAGCTATTATATTGTTGCCTCGTTGGAGCTAACCCAAGGAATTCCTCAGGACTAAAATGCTTCTGCCGTTAATGCCAGGGGCATGGAAGCTGCCTCTGATGGCCTTAGGGTTGGGGGTCCCAGGCCCAAAGCAGAGAAGTAGCTTCATGGATCTTACTGAACAATAGTTTCCAGTGGGTTGCAGTTTCTCTGGGATTTCTCTTCCCTTTCAAACTGCAAGTTTGTCTAATAGATGCACAACTTGACGGAATGCCAGCGCATCACAGATGCAATTATATTTCAGAACAAGCCTCCTTCTAATCTCTCTGCCATCACTGATTAATTAGGCACTTTGAACTCTGACCAACTGTTTGAAAGCTGTGAAAAATACAACCTGCATATTTAAAATTTCTACACAAGCCTATTTCCTCATTGTGTCTGTATTCCTCATCCTTTGAACATAATAAGTATTTATACATGTTTTCTAATACACGATCTGGCTATTTTCTTATCATGGCTAGAATTCCCTCCACTGCTGGCCAAAAAATACAAGCACACAATGAAAACCTAATAGCAAAACTAAGTGAGAAACCAATTGAATTATTTAGATATACTCACAGCTTTTTATTGCCACAATTGCACACAAAAAGTCATGTTTTTCCTTTTAAGCTTTGCATGAATGCCTCAAAAAGGCTTCTTGTTTTTGTTAATGGTGTCTTTTTAGGGTATTTTTGTGCTTATGAGGAGCAGTGGTAGGATAGCCGGCACAGGATTTAGACTCTATTTCTTGTTCTACCTACCTACCTACCTCTATCTCTATCTCTATCTCTCTCCCTCCCTCCCCTTCACTCTTCTTCTGTGTATGTACCAGTTTCAAACTCAGGTCCTTACACGTGCACAGCAGGCAGTTAACCAACAGCCATCCCCAGCCCTGCACTGTTTCATTTTTATTACATGTAATTATTAGCTATGTATATGGCACCATGTTTTATTTTAGTGTGTGTTTAGGTCGAATGACAGTTTCTCAGGGGTCTGGTCTCTCCTTCTCCTTTAAAAGGGTTTGAGAGATAGAACTTGGGTCACCAGGCTTATGCAGCTCACATCTGTACCCTCGGAGCCATCTCACTTGCCCACATGGCACCATGTTTGCAAGTAATTTCTAGTCTTTCTTTTCTGAGATAGAATTGTCTTTGAAAGTGCCTGAATGCTGAAAGATCTGTCCCACAAAAGAAGAGAGACTCGTGCAGGGAGCCTCTAAAACTGGCATGCTGACTTCCCAGAATGGATGCTAGGTTTGAAGGACTTGGTGGACATGCAGAGGGAAATGAGTATCTCTCTCCTCTAGCCTTGTGCTGAGACTGCCATCAGTGGCATGCTCATCTCATGGTGCCCAGGAACTCTGAAGCTCCTTAGCCTAGCCCCATAATCATCAGGCCCTGTAAACTGCTCTGAACCATCTGTCCTTCCTCTGATGTAATGTTTCTAAAGATGAGCACACTTTTAACCCAACTTTAGGAAATACATGCATTTAGCCTTGCCTTTATTTGTTTGTTTGTTTTCTGAAATACATGTTTTGTAGACATCTATGCCTTCCCATTCAGTGGTTCCACCCCTGAATTTCAAGCCAGATTTTGACCTTTTCAAAAAAAAAAAAAAAAAACTTGACTATATCAGGACCTCTACCACTGGATCTGACCTTCCTCATTGAACATGAGGAAACTAAGCCACCCCTTTCTAAGCCAGATTGCTCTCTGGGGGGAGTGTGTAATTGAGAGGAACACAGTTGAAAGGCTACAGGAGGTAGTTATACAATCCTGGTTCCTATTGACTTCTTCCCTCACCCTTCTAGGTGACAGCCTGCCTGGTTGCTGTGGCTAAGACAGACAATGACATTCAAGTGCGCAGAGCTGCGATCCATGTGGTTGTGCTGCTGCTTCGGGGACTCAGCCAGAAATCAACAGAGGTAAGCCAGCCTTTCCCCATGGGCATCTTCCCCTCCTTGTGTTATTGTGGGATCCAGTCTTCCTCGTTCAGGGCCAGCTCAAACCTCTTTTTTAGATATGAGCTGGTCAGCAGGGTTTTCATAGCAAGAAAATAGCATCATTTGCATCTCAGGCAGCGTCTCTGTATAGACAGTAACTGCTGCAGGAAAACCACACGTATACAGAGGCTGTGAGCCCTGGCATTCTCTCGGGGCAGGTTCCAAGGTAAGCTAGCTGGAGCACATTCACCCTGTTCTGCAGCCTGAGCTCCAGTGACTTGTCTTTCTGACTCATTCATTGTTCGGCTTAGGTACAGGAGGCTTCATTTAAGAGACTTCCTTTCCAGGTCTGAGTTCAATCCATATTTTGTGGTGGCATAAATTAAATTTTCTTCCTTCCTTCAAATGGTTTTGATTGTACCTCTCCCCATTGTCTGGCCATTACAGGAAGAAAGTTTATGAATCCAAATGTGTGCTAAGATTGAGTGAACTTAAAATTAATTTCCCTCTTGCTCCTAATGGAACCACCTCCCCAACTTATTTCAGATTAGAGTGCATTAATAATTCACTTGCTGGCGTCCACAGACTCAACTGTGGCTTGCACATCAGTCCTTAACTAAACCTCCAGAAAGCCATTGTGAGAGTGATTGTTCTGTCACACGGAGGGGCTTATTCATGCTTGTATTTTACCGTATCAGGTTGCTGATACCTGTTTGTACATGTACGCACGCATAGTTATCCCTTCTGACCTTGCACAGCCACACTGTCTCCATAAATGCCTACTTGCTATTGTTCAGCCTGCTAGCTGAGTTTCCAAATGTCTGCTTCCTGTCCGTCACCCTCAGCTGCACTCCTCTGCCTTCTCATGTGCCTTGGCTTGAATGAGCTCATGTGGCATGAACATGTTCACCTTTGAGTTATCAAAGCTTGACTATAGTGGCCTCGACAAATGATTTGTTTTTATCATATCATAAGAACCCTGTGTTTCTTAGCAATTTAGTCATAGCAAGGCCAGTGTATCTGGAACTGTCATAGCCCTTTGTTTCCTGGCTACAGTATGGCTGCAGTAGCCATGGCTTCTAGGACTAAGGACTTAAATGAGAAATAAAGAGGATGAGAGAAAGACAGTGCTAGACATTTTTACATCCTTTGGTGGGGGGGAGGGCAGTTTCTAGCATCATCCTACAGCCTACTTTGTTTCATTCATTAGACTGAATGCTCACCTAACCATTCCCCTCTGTAAGGTGTTTTGATGCTGCATTTAGCTGGCACATTTCTGCCTGGAACAAAATCAAAGTATAGTATAGTATAGTTAGCAAGAAAGATGGCAGGAAATGGATAGTGGGGATGTGACTAATAGTGACACAAAGGAAGTGGGGAAGAATGGTCTAGCTGAGTCACAAGAATTTCTCTATAGGAAGAATTGTGCAGTAATGGAGTTCTCACCTATTTTATCTGTTGATGAGATAAGGAACATTTGCACCATAACCTGATGATTCATAAAATTAAATGAATTACTATAGGATACACAGATTTTGTTGAGAACCTGTACAAATGAGAATTAAGAAACATCTGTATTTTGCATCTTTGTTAAGATCTACAGGGTTGGGAATGTAGCTCCATGGTCTAACACTTGCCTGGTGCTCAGCACAGGAGAGGCCCTGGGCTCAATCATCTTCCACTCAAGAAAACAACTTAGGCTAAGAATACTGGTGTATATGTATAATTCCAGCATTTAGGAGGCAAGGCAGGTAGATCATGAGCTTAGGGCCAGCCTCGGGTACATAGCAAAGTTCTATTTCAAACAACAAAATCTATGAAGCTTCTAGTAAATACATCATGGTCCTTGTGTTGTTCTTGTTGCAGGGTTTTTTTTTTTTTTTTTTTTTTTTTTTGCAATCAGGGGTTGAATAAGAGCTTTACTCATCCTAGTCTGCACTAAACTGTGTCCCTAGTCATTATCACTGCTGCTGTAAATTCCGTCAACTGGGAGGTTGTGTGAGGGGGAATACAGGGATTCTATATTAAAACCTTCTACAAGTCCAAAATTACTTAATAATAAAGAGTTGATTTAAGAGGCTGGAGAAACGGCCCAAGTTTAATTCCCAGCACCCACATCAGACAGCTCACAACTGCCTGTAACTCTAGCTTCAGCAGACCTGACATACCCCTGACCTCCTCAGGCACATGTACCGAGATACACAATTGCATGCAAATAAATAGATAATTAATAAAATATATTTGAAAATATAAGTTACAACTTTTTGAAGAGAAATCTAAGCCCAGTGTATTGTTGTACCCTTGTAATCCCAAAACTTGGGAGCTGGAGGCAGAAGGCTCAAGAGTTCAGGTTCATTGTCTGCTATAGAGCAGGTGCTTCTGGGCTGCATGAATAAAACAAAACAAATCTATAAAACTCTGGACATAGGTTATAGCTCACTTATAGATCTCATGCTTAGTAATTAAAGGCCCTAAGATTGATCCCTAATACCAACAAAGAAAAAAAAAAAAGGAAAACATTCTTAGTGCATACATCCTTACAGAGAGTTACACTATGTACACACACAGTAAAAGAGAATATATGTTGTGTGCGAACTAGAAAAGCTAAAACAGAAACTCTAAAAGCCAGGTGTGCTGTTGTGTGCTTGTAATCTTAGCATTTAGGAGTTGGGAGCAGGAGGATCAGGTCACCCTGGCTACACAGGCAAGTTCAGGACTAACATGGGCTACAAAAGGTGAAAAACCAAAAGAAGGAAAGAAAAAGAAAAGAAAGAAACTTTATCTAGCTGTCTCACATCTGTACATAGTTAATGAAAGCAGCACTCTTTGCTTCACCAAACAGGAATTAACCTGTGACCATGAAGATCTTTATCATTTTCAAAAAGTGGAGTAAATAGAAAATGCCTCTCCTGTCTTCACACCTCTAGTCCGCACTCACTGAAACGTATAAATTGTGCTTACTCAGTAGATGCAGGGATGGATGGATGGATGGATGGATGGATGGATGGATGGATGCCTAATTCCCTCCACTGCATCCTTGAGACTAGGTGTGTTAAATCTTGTAGTTATAGTTGTAATTATAACTGGAGCCACTGTGATGAAGAGTGGAGATAACTGCAGAGTTTACACTGCAATTCTCTGTAGAGCTGTTTTGCCCCCAGGAACAGCTGAAGTAAATATGCTATCTGTTGGTAAAGTTTTATGTTTTCTTTTCTGTTCTGCTAATCACCATCTCTCCAGCTACACTAGCCAAAAGATATTGCTGGGTTTCATCTGCTGCTTGTGGATGTGGGGCCCAGGACTTCTGTGGTTACAGCAGCTGGACAAGGAGGTAGGGAGAAGGATTGGAAATAAGAGGGAAGCCATCACTGCCCCTAACTGATGAGGTAGTTTTAGTTTATTCCTATCCAAAAGTAGCCAGAGTGTTATTTTTGTGGCAGTCCACACAAAATCTGCAACCACTGTCTTACTGAAGAAAAATGGTCTCTCCTTTGATTTGGTTTTAGACCATATTTGTTTAATATATAGCATGACAGTTAATAAGCCAGAAGTTACCTTCTTTAAACTCCTGTCTACCTTACCCTCACTGAAATATAAATTTACTAGGAATATCCAGGAGAGGAGGCATGGCATGTTCAGACCTGTAACTTGTGTTGGTTTCAGAGTTAAGAATAGGCCTTCTCAACACAGGGGGGAGAAAAAATGAGCTAAGCAACAGAATAAAGGGATGGTGTGTAACTACCACTCTTTTTCCAAGTTTGATCTTTGCCCAGTTACTCAGTTATTCTGTGTATTGTCGATGTTCAGAGTATGCATATTCATAATTTGGTCCCGAGACAATAATTAGGCAGTAGAGGTTGAACACTGCCCTGTGAAGCTGGCTCTCCTTCAGATAGTCATATAATCATATAGTCAATATAGTGAACAGCCCCCTGAGAGGAGGAGTGCAGGCTTAGAGGGCCATCATGTGCATAGGACTCTGTTTTCTTGGCTTTCATAGTAGGGACAGGTTAAAGAGTTATTTGATGAGGCATGTGATACTGTAGGGACCTTAGAAAAGAAGTCTTTTTAGTCAAAACTAGAGGATGGAATCTAGTGAAGAATAGAGGAGGTTTTGTTTATTTGTTTGTTTGTTTCATACTTACAGCCAGGCAGTGATGGCACATGCCTTTAATCCCAGCACTCTGGAGGCAGAGGCAAGCAGATCTTTGTGAGTTTGAGGCCATTCAGGTCTACAAAATGAGTTCTAGAACAGCCCAGAGATACACAGAGAAACCCTGTCTCAAAAAAAACCCAAATGAATAAATAAGTTCTTACAAAATAAATGCTTTAGCAGACCAAGGCTGTAAGGAGCCTACCTTGTATTTCCAGTGGGAGCATAACATCAATACCCACTAATTGAGCACTCACAGTGACTTTATAAAGTGTAGCTGCCATGAATAATAGGAACCATCGTCTGTATAATAGGAAAAAGGAGCAGCTGGGCATGGTGGCACATGCCCATAATCTCAGCCCCAAAGCAGAGAAAGGCAAGAGAATTACTCAAGTTCAAAGCCGGGCTAGTTTACTTAGCAAGTTGTAGGCCAGCCAGAACTACATAACAAAGCTATCTCAATTAAATTTTTAAAAAGCTGAGTGTAATGGGATACATTGAAGAGGGGCATCATGAGTTCCAGGACAGCCTGAGCTACATGTTTAAAAAAAGAAAGGTGCTGGATGGTGGGAACACACACCTTTAATCTCAACACTAGGGGAGGCAGAGACATATGGATCTCTGAGTTCCAGGCCAGCCTTGTCTATAGAGAGTTCCAGGACAGCCAGGACTACACAAAGAAACCCTGCCTCTGCCTCCCAAGTGCTGGGATTAAAGGCATGTACCACCACCAGCCTGCTTTCTTATAGAACTTCTAGGACAGTTAACACAGGGCCCACCTTCAATGGACTATTCCCTTCCCATCAATCACTTATTTTAAAAATGCTCT